GGCTGAGGGGAGCCCTCATCGCTCTCTGCAACTGCCTGAAAGGAGGCTGGAGCCGGGGGGGTCGGTCTCTTCTCCCCAGGAACAAGCGATGGGACGAGAGGGAACGGCCTCAAGCTGCGCCAGGGCAGGTTTGGGTTGGTTATGAGGAGAAACTTCTTCCCCCAAAGGGCTGTCAGGCCCTGGCCCAGGCTGCCCAGGGCAGGGGCTGAGTCCCCATCCCTGGGGGGATTTAAAAGCCGGGGAGATGTGGTGCTGAGGGACATGGGTTAGTGGTGGGCTTGGCTGTGCTGGGTTAGCGGTTGGACTTGCTGATCTTAAAGGTCTTTTCCAGCCTAAGCGATTCTGTGATTCTAGGGTGCTCTGAGTGGGGAAGAGGAGGCGCACAATGTTCCCTTGTACAGGGTGGTAGCTGAGTATTTAAGTAATGGCGTATGATTAACACGATAAAGAAAAATGGTGATAAAAGCAGTTTATGAAGGCTGACGTGAACCTTCAACATTTACTTTTAGGTGTGTTTCCTTTTCAGTCAGATTGATGAGTGATGACAGAAGAATATAATCCCTCTGGTAGATTTTATTGGAAATCTTTATGCTCTTTACTATAATTATATTTTATTGAGGTTATTTATGATGTTTGCTTAGTTAAACTTTTGGGAGTATAAGGAGCTATCATGGTGAATTATCCTTAAAATATCTTTGCTTTTACTTTGCTGTTCATGTGTCATTGAACAATAATGTCAGTTCTGAAAAACAAAATTAATTTTCGTAAAATAGATGTTCAGGTTATTTTATTTTTGTTAACCACAGAGAAGTCGCTTTAATGTCCACATTTGGGTGATGAACAGTAACGGTTATTGTAAAGTAGTTTTGAATAAACAAATTTCACACAAATGCACCTTCGAAAACAAGTGCTCCGTGGATGCAGCACAGCTCTGCTCTGCTCCACGCCCGTCACCTCTCGCGCAAACTAAAACGTGCATTTGTCTCCCTTGATCCCCTGCCGGGGTGTTTGTAGATGCCTCCCATTTGTCATTACAAACAATGCCTTTTGTGGCTAAAACCGAGTTAATTTCCTTTCATATATTCCCATAACTTGAGAAATTCTTTGTTAGTCTTCAGATCTAATCCCTTTCTAAATGGTGTGTGTTTCTTCTGCTTCATGTCTGAAATGTGGCCTTTCTTATTCAGCTGTATAGCTCCAGGCAGCTTTGCCCAAGCTCTGGCCATGCAGTGTTTTCCCTCTGACTTCTGTAAGCCAAGCGATTGCTTATACGTGTTGAAAAAGTTCTTACAGGAATTATTTTCGTATGGTTTTGTCAACCTTCTTCATTTACCTTTGACTTTCCCCATCTTCTTTTCCGCATCAAACATGCTATTCATCTTCTGGAGCCCTTGATAGCATGTACCGTGTCTGCTTGTCATTCTGTGCGCCGGTGCCATGTCCCAGTGCCCCCTGATCCAATTTTTCACCCGTGCGTTAAACGTTTCTCAAAGAAATGCCCAATGTCGTCTTTTGTGCTCTACCTCGTTCCCTAGCAGAAATTTCTGCAACTATTCATAAAACACAAATATTTGCAAAACTAGCACATTACACTTTAACAAATTACTGCTTCAAAGTTTCCTGTTTCATATCGATCAGCAAAACCTGAGCTATTTTTTCTATCGGTGGGTATGCCAAACCCACTCTTTGCAGTTCTATAGTATCAAATTGTTCCTCTTGCTTTGTCCAGGTGTATGCACTGTACGGCCCATTCAGCTCCTGACTGGAGTCCTTTAATGTTTAGTAATACAAATTTAAAGAAATAACAGCTTTCGAAATAGGGCTAAAAGTCAGGTTACTGTAGCCTTAATGCAATCCCTATCATAGTTCTATATGCTGTATTGCCTTTACATGTAATGTCTGTCACTAGAAAACTGAAAAGATGATTCATTGCATCCAGAGCTGATCCATTTATCTTAAGCCATATCTTTCCTGTAATTCCTTAAAATCTTATTGGGGGTGCATGGTTTTAAGGATTTAGGCATTCTTATTATTCTTTTGTTGACAAACTGGAGGATTGAAAGACGGACATGATACAGTTAATTAACTTTTACAGGTTCAGGTTTTCCTGTGCTTGGTGACAGGCTCTACTTTTGGACACGTTAATACACGGCTGGTTTTCTGGAATACTGCACTCTTCCTGCTTCCCTTCGTTACATTAGCCAAGGTTCCACTAGATGAGACATTTGCAGTCTTAAGACTTCCTGCCGAGGTTCAGACTTTGTATTTTGAGATTGAAGCTGTCGTGTTCATGAAGCTACTTAATTAGAAACACATTCATCTCAGTGCATGCTGGAGGAGTCTCGAGCAGCATAGCCAGGCACACGGGGAAGTTGAGCATTTGTGCAGCTGGCAGCTAAACCAATGGTTTATACTTTGAATATAAAATTACTGGGTATTTTCTTGCTCCTGGAATGTGGCCATTGGAATGAAGAGATGTGGGTGAAAGAGATAGCGTTTGTCGCAAATAAAACATGCAAAATGACAAATAAAAATACTCCTCAGTTGAGCAGCAATCCATATGTAATAATCGTGTATCATGTTGTATGGTAAAAATTTCTATCCAAGAACTTGGATGTGTGTTCTGGTTCTCATCTGTGGAATTCCCAAGGGAGCAGAACCTTCAGGATTTGTACCGAGTTAGTTTCTGACGTAGGAGTGCCTCTGGGCTGGCTGCCATCAGGTGCTGCGGTGGGGAGGCTGGGGAGGGGGCCTTCCTGCCAGCCTCCGCAGTTCGGCGGGTTGTAATGCAGCGTGGTTCACGGCACTTCGGTATGCTACAAATGAACTTGTAAGGTTTTTTTGAAGTTATGTATGTTTAATGTCTTCAAAAGGAAAAAAAGTGTTTTCATGTAGAACGTCTAATACAGAGGCTGTTCCCATCTCTCGGTACAGCATCCAACAGAGTAGCAGTTTTAGGCGGTATAGTAATAAACATGATAAATATTAATATGCATATCAGTAAATTTTTTTTTTAAAGGTCTTTCTCATGAAAATGAGAAGCAGAGTGATTTTTGCTGGTCTGGTGCCTTGCAGTAGTTTTTTCAGCGCTGTGCTTCTCTTACTGAGCAGTAGGCACCAGTTTATCAAAGCAATATGGAAGATATTTTAATCCAAGGCAGTGCAGTGACATTTCTCTCATTTTTTCATCTGAAATTGAAAATGAGCTCTTTGAGCTTCTGTATCCAAAATGAAACGAGGCTCTATTTTAAAAGTTGTGTCTGTCTGTGTGCTTTCCGTTTAACAGGCAGTATATGCCATATTTGCAATTAGCAGCTTTGGCATCCTCTTTGATGTGTTCTAATAAGCAGTGCAAATATAAGCTTTCCCTGATCAGTTGAGTGGGAGTCCTGTAATAAGCTTAATATTAGAAATACTGTATACACAAAGATACGACTTTCATTCAGTACTCTTCTTGTGTTCTATAGTGCATGTTGGTGTTTGCTAACATCATGGAAGAGAAGAGGGAAAAGATCAATCTTTCTCTTAAATGTTAGCATTCTGTTTGATAACAGAAGTCTCACACCTGTGCTTGAGGCTACAAACTGGGCCCAAGAGCCTCTTGGTGTATTTAAGTTGTGTGTTCTGAAGGGAATAATGGTATCGGCGTGTGTCCCAGTAACTCTGGAGTTTAGCAGAATCTTCAAAAGTATTTTTTATATTTTTCTTTTGTGAATGTAAACTTTTCAAGAGTTGTACTTAAAAATAAATTATTTTAAATGTGTCGGGACCCATATCCAAAGGATTTAAAACTTGTAGTACCAGGTGATACGTATACCTTAAATTAACCACTTAACACTACAACAGGATCAATTTTTCTGAAGAATACTCTTAGAAAAATCTGGATTTTTTTTGAACATTGTAATAACGCATTTTGTTTGTTTTTTAAAAAAAGACTCCAGTATTGTAGATATGTTTAATAGTTGTCCTTATGTACGTGTCTTAACTTAGTCACTTGGAAATTCTGATGTCCAGAAAAATTAAAGTCTTACAGTAGTGAGAGGATATTGCATAGTAAAAAATGTCTTTCAAATATGGAATAAAATTTTGTTCACATGTGGTTTGTTTATATATATTATTTTTTTAAGCAAAGTCTAATCCAGTATCCTGGTATTTTCCTGTAGCTAATTTTATAAGTCATATGTGTTAATCCAGTGTTATGAGAATGTAAAGCTGGGTTTTTTCCTCTTTGCAGTGCCCCAATGCCCTACCTCATTGGAATACATTTAAGTTTGATGGAGGTAAGTCTGTCTCACCATTTCTGAAACTATTTATAGTTTTATGGTTTAGAACCAAATTCTGCAAGCAATTATACATTCATTCGTATGCTTAAAAATGAAATAATCCTGTTAATTTGGGAGTGCTGAGAGAATTGAGGTTAAGCATACATGATAATGTTAAATCTTAAGGGAGTTTTATTTGCTACCTTGTACGCTTTGGGCATGCTTTCTGTTTGCAGTTCAGCGGTGACGAGCTCACGTCGTGTTCCCCTCTCCATCCTGTTGCTTCAGTTAATCAGTTTACTGCCTCAGCTTGACTCTGTATTCACAAAGGCAGAGTCGATATTAAACCAAAATGTTGACAGTTACAGTTCTCTTTTAGGCTTTTGCAGACAGATTGTAATTTTTTTAATGTTCAAAAGATCTGAAAAGAAGGAACTTGCTGTTAATGTTAACACAAAGCTGGCAGAAAACCAGCCCTCACAGAAAGCTTCACATATAAACAATTCAGAGTAATTCATGTGACTTTTAAAAACTCTAAAAGTGGAAATAGCACATTTGCTTTTGCTTCCAGTACTGGTGAAACAGTTGATGACTTTCCTCAAAAGTATCTGGAGGACAACATAAGCTATTAATTTAGATCCCTATGAAAATCCTGGTCCTTAGTAACTGTGCCCCTGTACGCAGGCGGTCTGGCCGGCGCGCGTGGGCTCCGGCTGGGGAGCGGCCTTCCCGCCCGGGAAGCGCTGCCTCTTCGGAGGCTCCCAAAGGAGCAGGCAGCGCGCAACGGGTGGGAGCTGCAGCTTCCCTCGCAAGTAATCTGACTCGTGTCCCTGGTTTAGATACCCCTGTTCGGAAATTCAGGCTTAGGGTTTAGGATACGTAACAATGCACAATGCTGAGTTTTACGTCACATGAAGTAATGCGTATTACTAGAATATTTGTTTTTATATTGGCCATAAAAATGTGTAATTTCTCTGGAAGTATCGATCAAAGATACTCTTTCGCTAGGGCGTATGTATGTAATAATGATCCTCTGTCTCTTTGTGTGTTAAAACTTAGACTAATATGCTATGTAACTTCCCTCTTTTTCCAGCGCTAATGTGAAGTAATTTTAGAAGTCACTTTTTTTGTGAGAAGCTAGATGGAATATGCAGGACCTTTTTATCTTTTTTTCCGTACCATCCTAGGTACAGATGATTTTTTTTTTTTGTGCCCTTTATATTGCTAAATAAAGTACAGACTTGCAGTACAATGTGTTAGTGAATAAGCAATTATTTTAAAAGTCAACATGTACATTTGTTTGCACATCATATGCTTATATTAGAGGGTTTTCTGATAATTACCCTTGAATACTGCACAGACAGGACCAAAGTAATTTCTAGGAATAAGTAGTCCGTCATATATTGTTCGTGTCGATCAAGAAACTTTCTGCCCCATATCTGTACCATTTAATCATTGGCACGCTTGTTATGGTATCTATCTATTTGAAAAAGAAGGAAGAGACCTGGTAGAGGATGGGATAATATCTCAGTGCGGATACTTGTCAGCTTCCACAAATTTTTGCTCACAAAGAGCTACGTGGTTAGCCTGGCAATGGGGATAGGAAAAAAAATTAATAGTTACACCTTGGAGTTGCTTCGCATGATGTCTCACTCCTGCCTTGCCACACAAACCCATTACCTCTTCCTTTGTCTCGGTTTTTCAGACTGCAGGGCTCTGTAGGCCTTCCAAACTCCATCTGTAAAAACTCAAAAAAAGGAGTTGTTCTTGGAGAAGCCAATTTTCATCCATTTTAGTAACTTGTGAAAAAATCTGTTTAGTACTAAATCCAGTATGGCTTTTGAATAGCCAGAGATTCTGGAACACAGACACACTTTGGCAAAGTACAGTCACTCAGAGTGCCTTATGAAATAAATTAAATAAATAAAACAAACTGTCTTCTCTCCTCCCTCTGCTCTTAAGGATAAAGTGAATGCTTCCAGATAGAAATGCGTCTTCCAGCTAACTGTGCTTTTTCCATTGAAAAATCAAATAAAATCACACGGTGGGCTATTGTGTCTGTTTGTTGGCAACTACTGCGTAATTTCTCTGTGCCTTGGCCAAAGGAAAGGTGACATTTGTCAGATGAGCTAGACAATTACTAGTTTACTTCTTTGCCTGTTTTTGATACCGAAAGCTTACTTTCTTTGTCCTTTTCTTCATATGTAGATATAAAATGGTGTTTTATTTCTTAGAATAACAACTTAGGAAAAACAGCAAATTTTTTCTCATGATCTAGCAGTTGTGTATTTTTAAAAATACAATGTATTAATTTTTCCGTATCAAAATAATTTTGTAAACTACAACCAAAAACTACTGTCATTATTCAGTATTCATTTTTCTTTGAATGCTGAAATTTCAGCAAGTAGATCTTTGAGTGTTTTGTTAATCCACGTGCTCTAGTTTCAGGATAAGGGATGCTATTCGGGTGAAGGCAGGTGGACTCTTTATCTGCTGTAGAGCCCCCCGGGAGTAACTGCAGGTCTAGACAGGCTCACGGTTCTGCTCCAGCAGCTCCGATCGCAGAATTTGTCATTGCTGCGTAAATGTTAGTGGAAGCCTGAACTTGCGCAGAGAAAGCTGTGGTGTAAAGGGGAGGGAGAATTTGGGATGTAGGAAAAAAAGTTTTCTAGCTTTAGTGCTGTTTCTGTGGGCTTTTGCTATCCCTAGCTTGGAGTGGGACCTTTGGAAGAAATATAGCGGAAATGTTAATGATTTTAAACAAAATACCACCTCTCTCTCATCTTGAAAGAGTTTTTTTCAAACCATTGTGTATCTTAAAGTTAGTTTGCAGGTTCCCATGTTACGCAGGGTCCCTGTAGAAGGAGCAGTTATTTTAATGGAAAATGACAAATTTTTCTTATGATTAAAATATCAAGCATATCCATTGACTGTTAAATCTAATTTGCTGTGACTGAAATGTTCTCCAGCGAGATAAGATAATCTCCTGTTATAGGTCAGAGGGCTCCAACTGATTTATGAGGGAAAATCTTGGTAGAAAATACAGAGCTGTGTTTTGTGCTCTTATTTTTCAGCTTTTCTATCATCACCTAGTTAGTCATTCTTTATAAGATTTCCATTTAGCAATCCATAAAGTGACTTCAAAGAAGGCTAAAAGTTTATAAGCTGTTGGATAAGCAAGGCTGGAGCTATCACATGAATAATGGAACATGCTTACGGAACTAATTGAATTCATATTAGATGAAGATAAGTACTTAGTACTGATAAATAATGAGATAGGAAAATGAAACTCCTTCAAATGAACGCATCCCTTTCATAATGCTGTTTTATTTTCTACCTGCATACTGTATGCTATTTTAGTGTTCAAATTATATTAAATTGACCTTTGTGCTGTAAGTGGTGTCAAACGTAGCTGGCAGCCTTTTACATTTTGTCAGAGTAAACGATTGTTTCAGCAACTGTTTCTGTAGCAAAGGTTATTAGTGTGATGGCGCTGATGGAAGAGGAATGCCCTTGACCTAGCAGACTGCCTCTTGGAATTTAGGCACATGTGGTTTTGATTCACCATGTGGGACAGTTCTGTTCAGCTGTCAGATACGGAGCTGCGGGCAGCATGCCCCTCCGTGCCAGGCTTCCCGTCAGGCAGGTAACCGCAGTGCCCACCCTTGTCGTGCTCTGTTCGGGGCACAAATGCAGCCTTTAAAGTTAATGATTGGAAAAGTATTTCTTGCGCTCTTTTTAAATATTCCAGTCACTCAAGGACGACTTCTGGGACTTCAGAGTTTTAGTTCTTGCAAGATTATCCAGAAGGAATTTGTGTATGAAATGACATTGCATTTGTTAGAATGCTTTTCTAACATTTTTCCTAAGCCTAAAGGACAGTTGCGCATATCATAAAACCTATACCAGCAGATTTTTGTTTTATTTTAACCTGGTATGAGTAAATATGTTCATGTTAGGAAAAGAAGGTTCACTAAAATTCATGCTGTCTTTAATACGCTAGGACACGGCAGGTGATCTCACTGCCGATAGGCTCTTCCCTCTGCAGGCAGATGAACGGAAAGCTGTGTGTTCAGTCCTCCGAACCCCACGCACGGATTCTGGGAGCACTTTTTGGCATATTTAGCCGGTCTTTTTCAGGTAGCGGTGAGGATGCTCTGTTTGTGATCCAGTCTGATAACATGCATGGAGTCAGAGCTAACAACTCCGAGAAACCGGTTACATCAGCTTGGGCTTGGTCCTGGCGCTGCCATGTGGCTTCCCCGTGCCGCAGACGACACCCTGAGAATTCATTGACCGCTGGCATCTTCCAGTGGTAGTGTTAATTGTTAATTATATTTTTCGATTGGGGTGAGGAGTAATAGTTAGCTTTTTCCATCCATCTATACCTAGTAAATCACTGCCTTTTCTAGCTATAACTGAGGAAGTGTAGCTTTTTTACAGGGTTTAAATGAAGGGGTTATATATATACTTAAATCCAGGTCTTAAAAAATGAAATGTAATTTAGTCACAAATATTATAAATATGGCTGTACATGGTTTCAGGAGTATTGATAAAAATGCATTTAAAATTATGACAAATGACTTACGGAATCGTCTTTTATCCAATTATTGCAAAAATGAAAATAATAACTGTGTTTTAATAAGAGATTCTGTGCGGAGGATGTTTGAGGGGTAAGTTTCAGGAAAGACAAATACTGCAGTACCACGCAGCCTTACCACTAAGTGTGGAAGGTTTTTCTTCTGTTGTACAGCAGTGTTTAGATCAGCACCAGTGATGTTTGTCACTCAGTTGGCAACAGCTGCTTGTGATAAGGATCTTGAGGATCACCTGTACAGGATCAGGGTGCTGCACATCAAGGTTGGAGATGGGCGGAAGAGTGGGAGATGCGCGGCGGGGGCAGCAGCCCACCTGCTGTGCCCAGATCAAAGGGTGGGGAGGTCAGGGGGCACATCCAGCTTAACCAGATTTGTCTGCTGAATAGCTATTTCAGATTGTAAATCTAAGGGTGATTTCATTAAGTCCTTCTGGCTGCTGTTGGGGCATGAAATAATAAAATTTTATATCCGTTGCCTTTCCTGCTTCTGGCAGCCAGATTGACACATTGTTGTCTGCAGCGTTGTGGTGTTTTTCTTAAGAAAATAAATGGAAACTATTAACTAAGTAGAGACAAGTCATTAAGCAAATGGATTTTAGACGTTGTGAATCATACTTTCATAATAATTTCAAATATAATGTACAAACTAGCTACTAAAAATGTTAGGTTTTGTTAAGAGTTTTACCTTTCTAAAAGAATTAGCGGAAGGTATATTTTCTTTTTTCTGTTACAACATCTTTAAATATGTTGATCACATTTGTATCTGGTTATGAAACCTCACGATCAACTTGGTTTATGTTTTGGCACCAATTTAGCCATGAAGTTACGCAAACCTGTTTTTCAGGGGGGGAAGGAGGGTGATGTTTGGTTTTTTTTTTTTTTTTCTTTTTAAAGGAACTATTCCATAAAATTGTTCATCTGAAAGAAGTTTAACTTAAGATTTTTTTTATGGTAGGAAATGCAAAAAATGCCAACTGCGGGCAGTGATAATAAAACAACATTTAGTATAAACTCGTGTTAGTATTATTGATGAATATTGCTTGTAGCATGTGATCTGAGACAGAGGCGCACCCTTTAATACTTCTGTTGCAATATAGTTTCTCAGTGTTTTGCAAACTTTCACATAAAACATTTAAATTACTTCAAGTGTTTGGCTGCTTGTGAGCAGGACAGACACACTAACCGCTGCTTATTTACTGACCTGGTGTTTAAGGCCCCCTGGAGTTTGTTTGAAAAGTTAAGAGATTTTCACAGTAAAGGTGCCATTTCTGAAATTTAAAGTGCTCTTTTCACCAGGAGATAAGTTCTCTCTGATTAAGTCAGTAATTCTTACTAAGCCATGTTTATAGAGGCCATAAACAATGGGTTCAGTGTGCTTGTTAAACCAGCTTTCCATACCTCTCCACTCTTTTAAAAAGAGACATTTAAAATAAAAGGCAGGTGTAGATGTTGGTTTGATTTGATGGTTTTTAGATGATTAATTATGGCTACAAGTAATTCGGTAAGGATGGTTAGGAAGGGTTTGCAGTACTGATACGCGATGCACATTTTCACTGAATCACTTCTTTTGACTCAGCAAGTCCCTAGTCTGTAGTAAAATTAGGTAAGGAAACTGTAATGTTGATATTTCCTCTTGTTCTTTGCTTGTCCACGATTTTTCAGTAAAATATGAACATGCTGAATATAGTCCATTCTGCTTAACAGGGATCGCTTTATTTGTAGAATTCTGTTCGGATAGTCAGGAAGCTGTGAAATAGGGAACGTGACTGGATGTGGCTTAGTGGCGGCCCCTTTGTAGAAATGGCGGCACCACGCAGACTGTACCTGTGAAAATGATCTACAGGTAGTTGCGATTCAAAGAGTCCAATGGGATTTCATGCGCGAAATGCAGCTGGGTGCTGGGAATTTTTACTAAAATTCCAACAAGACAGTAAATACTTTTATTTCCAGGTTAGTTGGGCTGATAGGTACTATGTCTAGCAAAAGAACCATTTGATTATTTGACAAAAGACCTTGTAACTATCCGATAATACCTTTATCAAAGATTATAATGAAAGAAAAGATGATAAAAACAGATAAGGATTAAGATGAACTGGTCAGTCTTCGTTTCTCTAGGATGAGCTATGATTGGACCGCTGAAAAATTACATTTTTTTCAAATGCATTGCAAGACAGATGCTATAAATCAAGTTAGTCTGAAGTGTTTTATTAAATTTTAGGCTTTGTCTCCAGAGAAATCCACTGTCTTAATACAAATATTGGAAAGTTTTAAAGTAAGGTTGTGCTCTTCATGGTGTAAAGGTATATAGCACAGCAGAGTTTAATATTAGCCTTCCTTTTGGATACAATTATTTCTGGGCCATGTGTGGAGAGGATTACGTTGATGAACACTTATAGTCCTTGCAGCATGAGCAACAGCCTTTTGTACCGTGCTCCTTGGCAGATAGCCGCTTGTCACGAGCCTGTTCTTTGCTACAGAAAACCCCAACATTTTGCTGAAGGGAAGGTGCGGATTCATCACCAAAGTTACAAAAACACCCGTTGACAAGTTCAAGCACGTTTGTTGCTTCTCCGGCAAGAATCAAGAGAAGGTTTTAATTCCTTCTGTCTTGTCCTACTAGCACTCGATTTTGACAAGCTTCTGGCTTTGGTTAAGTACGTTGCAAGACCTTTTTGTTGGAGCTTTTTAGGCTCCTCTGAGTATAAGTGAGATTTTTAATTTTCTGAAACAGGAAGGAGCAAATCAGTTTGTCTGGTGCTTCCGGACTCCTAGAAGGAGCAAGACTCCTGGATTGCTTTAGAGTTTATCAGATGCAGCCAACAGAGTGACCTTTGGTTCCTGAAATGTAGAGGAAAGTACCTGGTTTGTCATGCAGTACTTGTGCTTTTTATATGGAAAGAATTAAATGTAATATTCTTCCATTTAAGTTAAAGAAATTTCTCATGGAAGACCTGAACTTAAATGTCTACAAAGTGCTTTTTATAGTTGTTGGCTTTTTTTTATTTCCTCTCCCCTAAGTACACAGCAGTTTTCTTTATAGACAGAGGACTGAGCCTTGAAAACTGAAGGTAATTATTTAGATGCCTAAGGCTCAACTTTGGCATTGTTTTAGAGCTCTAGTTCCTTGCTTTTAAAGGAAACAATTCCCCCCGCCCCGCAAAACCTTAATTAAAAATTGAGTATGTTTTTGTTCATTTTCCTCTTCAGTAACTTGCATTTGGTCCTACTGATAGGTATGTAGGTACTTAAACATTTGTTTACGGTGTCACTGGGAAATTTCCTTAATTACTGTATTCTATAGTTCCGCTTTTTCTGATTTTGAATTTTCAAAGCTTTATTTGAAGAGGGCTTAAATACATATGATTAGTCAGCCAAGGAAAAAAAAAAAAAAAGGATTCAATTCTGTTGTTAGTGGAAAAAGTGTTAAAATAAATATTTAAATGCTGCTGTGTTTCGTATCAGTGATTCATTTACTGTTGTTTAAGCAGGGAAATAAAGTCTGAGAATGTTTAAATTTGCTTAGAACACCAATACCTTTAGACACTTAAAGTCAAAGGTAGTAATGCTCGTTCTTGTGAGAAATAGGTTGTGCTTGTCTCTTGTATGGCCCTGTACCGTTACGGCTGATGTAAACGCTCAAACTGGCTTAAAGACATTTCCTCCTCTCAATTCATGGGAACAGGATAAAAAGTTCAGACTTGCTGAGCATTAAGAGACCAGGATATGGCAGAGTTATTTTTCTCTTAGCTTTTCTTCATTTTAGTTATTTATTTATTAACCTCGGGTAGCATCCATTTTACTTAAATCCCTTTGTAAACTTGTCTCTGTTGGAGTTCTAAAATTCAACCTGGAATTTGGAAACAAGTTCCCATCCCTGACTTACTGCAGCTCTTAACTCCTAGAAAAGCTGCTATTTACCGTTATTTAAATTAATTTATAAATATAAAAAGATAGACTTAAAATCTTGACCCAGCTAGAAGCTGCTAAATGTGCAAACAGGATACCAGAATTAAGATAAACATTAGTAGAGGTGCTTGAATAATCTCAAACAGTAACTCTCTGGTTTCAAAAATTTCAGTATGCACAATGTTAAGAACTTCTACCTGCAAATTGACGGTTAATTTTTCAGCATTGTAAAATGTGAATAAATAAAACAAATGATGCCAGAAAGACAGGAATGTTGGTTGTTTTTAAAATGCTTGAAGTTTTGTAATGCCATGGTGTTATGCCATCACTTCTGCCCTTTATACGTAAGATTTAACTCTGCATCCTTACATTTTCCTTTCCCTTTTCTTGAATTTGCTCATATTTAGAAAGTAAGAAACATGGCCCTGGAAGATGTAGTGATTCTTAATGTAGACACCAACACACTGGAAACCCCTTTTGATGACCTTCAGAGCCTTCCTAACGATGTGGTATGTATGAAATGATTTATTCAACTATTCCATTACTTAAAAGTGTAAATCCTTTTGACCTGTTTGGTTTGTAACTGAGCTGTCTCTTTGTGTTACTCTCATTATTATAAGTAAACCGCTTTACCTCAATTCTTTCCTGTTTTGAAGTGTTAAGCAATGTTTGCTTGAACATTTGCAGTCATATTTTTAAGCCTCCTAATGAAAATTAGGTAATGCTCACGTAAGCTAGAAATGCTGCAGCAACCCAGGTTCGGTTTTGGAATGGCACGATCAAGTTTCATCTGAAGAGTTAGTCTTTTATAGGGGCAAAAGAGAGGAATGAAAACCACACAGGTTATGGTACGTCTGAACAGGAAACAAAAATTCAAACTTCTTTCTTCATGGCATGAAAAAGAAGTACTACTTGAAACCATCTTTATCCATTCCATTAGGCAAAAAAACCCCTGCATTTTTAGATAACTTTTGTTTTCAAATGAACTTTTTTTTGCCTCCTGTGACTTCCTCCAGGTGAGTTTTAATGAACTTTCGCGCTTTGTATCCTGAATTATGCTCTCAAATGGGCTACTTCATATTCACTTCTAGCACTGCTCAGTGCATATAATTTGGAACTCATTTTCTTTCTCATTCAAACTTTTTATTGGTTATTTATTTTTTAATAACTTGATAGAAATGTTGTATAAATGCTTGATCTTTCCCTTTAATGAGACAAAAATACATCCAGCTTGCTGCTGTAATCATCGTCACTAACGAAGCTGAGAGGGAAGAGC